ATAGATGTTGTATTTTGCTGAATGCTTTTTCTGGGGCATTTTTAAAAATAATAATTTTATTATGATTTTTTTTTTTAATTTAGGAACTGACTCACCTGAAATATCTCCCAAAGAGGCAGGGTATAAGGATTTATGTTTGGATGCAATAAATAAATATCTGAAAAATAGAAAGTTACTGGTAAATAGATAAGGTTTGCTGGTATTGTTTCTCTGTAATGAGAAGTCTAGAAGTGGGTGCTTTATGATATTCATTCATCTGTGCAAGGAATTCAGAGTAAAGTTCTTCATGATCCTCTGGGCCCTTCCCTCAGAGCTGCCTGATGGTATTTGCAGATTCGGCATTTTGCTCACACACCAGGCACCAGGAAGGAGAGAGTAAAGGGGAATTGTACTTACTGTCCCCATACACTGTTTTCCATATGGACACTTCAATCCAGAGTGAGGGCTGGGAAATGTAGTTTCTTACTGGTCACATTATTCTCTGTGGTGAAACTGGCATTCTATTAGTAAGGTTTGGTATATAATTTGATATACATACATTGAATATATATACTGTATATTGAATTTTTACAGAGAGGAAGGGAGAGGGATAGAGCATCAGTGAGAGAGAAACATTGATTAGTTGCCTCCTGCACACGTCCTTCTGGGATGTGCCCAAAACCAAGGTATGTGCCCTTGACTGAAATGAACCTGGGACCTTTCAGTCTGCAGGCCTACGCGCTATCCACTGGGCCAAACCAGTTAGGGCTAATTTGGTATATTATCAACGTCTACCAAAGACACTGCTAGTAATTACTCTTAGTACTTATCCTTAAGAATCATGAAAGCCCTATCAGGAATGGAGGGAAGGAAGTTAGATATGGATGTTTTTTCATTACATTTACTAAGTGCAAATGTGTGGGCTCCCAGTATTCTCTTGCTTCCCATGACTGATCACCATTTATGCAGGCTCTGCATATGAACTCCTGGTAGCTGTGAGGCAAAAGCCCTTGACCCCAAGCAGTGGGTTTTGCAACTTTGGGGATGGAATGGAAGGAAAATGGGGTATGAGGCAGCTGCTGTTGGCCACTCTTCCTTACAATTTTATTACAAAGGTGTCCACTTTCCGATGTTCTCTCTTTCAGGAGACCCACCTTTATCTTACTCAAGTTGGAATCAATTGCTTCCTTCCATAGCTCCCACATTATTTTTTATGACAGCTTTATATAATTCATAGTATACCATACAAGACAACCATTTAAAATGTACAGTTGAATGGCTTTTTTCATATATTCAAAGTTGTGCAATCATCACACAATTTTAGAACATTTCCTCACCTCAAAAAAAAGAAAAAAATCCCTGTATCCATTAGCCACAACCCCACATTCACTCCTAATCCCTCCCAGCCCTCAATAACCACAAATACACTTTCTCTGTCTATAGATTTAACTATATGAATATTTCATATAAGTGGAATTATTAAATGTGCTCTCTCAGTATTTTGCTCATATTTCTGTTATTTCCCCTGCATTCTGCTCTGTGTTTATGGAGTTCAGGGACCTCTGTGACTTTCTCTGCAGACTAGGAGTTCCCGATCTGCTGTCTTTGGATCCACAGTAGCAGTGTGTCTAAATATTAAATATTATTTAGTGATGTATTTATAATACATCACTAAATATTAAACACAATAGAGTGTATAATTTGGAAATATGGGCACAAAATTATTTCTGTCTGTACTTCAATTAGATTTTGTAGTAACAATTAGATTTTGTAGAAACAATTAGATTTTGTAAAGACTCTGCATATAGTTAGTTTCTAACAAAAATATTGAAGGAATGAAGTTTACTAGTATCTTGAAAATTAACTCTCTGCTCTCTCTCTCTTTGTCATTTGAATCTTCTAACTTCTGACTCCTAGCCATCTAATACATCTGTCCTAGTTTCTGGCCCAGCACAATTGCTACCATCTTTTTCACCCCTGTATCTCCCTCCTCCCATAAGACCCAGCATAAGTTTTGTTCCTGTGGAGTCAGGCACCTATATCGATTGGGAACATCATTCCATTTCTCAAGTTTCTGCTTCCTTGTCCGAAAAATGTGGGAATGATGTTCAGTAAAGGCACCTTTAACTCTATCCATGTTCCTCAATGCCAACGCAGAATAAATGAGCAAAAACAAAGGCCATGATAAAAGGAACTTCTGAGGAAAGTTGGGTTAGCTGGAAGGTTTGTGGTTTGTTGGACAATTATTTTCAGGAGATACTCTGATGATGGAAACATTTTTTCACATTAACTTAAACTAATTGATTATATTATATTATTTAGGATGACTGTAGGTACTGTGCTTAAAGATATAATTGGCTTATAGAGAAGTCTTTTACTGCCCACTCTGACTTTCACCTTTTTGCCACACCCTAGGTGTAAATCCAAAGGGAAATGGATGTGGCAGAAGAGAAAACTATTGAGTGTAGTTAGTGGCTCTCAGTATTAAAGCCAAATATTTGCTCGTGAAAGCAATGAGGTCCATCGCACTGGTAATGGGATTTAAATGGATTAAGGAATTGAGACTGAAACAGGAGCATAATTAGAAAAGACTCCAGGGTCATCATGTCAGTCCTCACCTGTTCATCAGGCAGACAGTCTGTCCACAGCTTTCACTTCAACAATGTGGGTTGTTCTTCTCACCATTGTCTCTTGCCTCCCAGAGTTTTTGGGAAATGATGCCTGGGCCACCCCTTGCAGTTCAGTGTGTCTGCAACAGTGTGATTATTGTGGGTCCAGAGATTCAGTTTATATCTGATCTTTAAAAAACAAACAAATACACAAACAAAAAACAAACAAACAAAAAAACACAACAACAACAACAACAAAACAACTCCTGAAAACTCAGAGTGTGATTCTTAATGATTTTCTTAAAAAGGGATATAAGAAATAAATTATATAGGCCATATATAATCTCTGCCTGATTTAGATGAACCTTTTCCAATTAAGAAGAAAGGACATGACCAAGAAATAAAATGACTGTTGCCATTAATGCCCAAATTTCCTGTATGGATAGACTTGAGCCTCCTGTGGCATTAACTTAATCTTTGCATACTCTCGTTATGATAGTTTTCTGGCTTGTTTGCGCATGTCTTAATCTGAAAGACTAGGACAGAGCTATGACCTTACAAATGAACAGCATACCTGCAGTATCAAATACATGCATGGATGTAGCAGGAGACACTGAGCCCTGAGGCTGGCACATGCTGGCTTAACCTGGCAACTAGTCAGCACATTGTACATGTTTCAAGGTGATTTCGCTTTTAATTACAATTAAATATGTAATTGTCTGAAACAAATATGGTGAAGTTCCTAAGCATCTCCTTCCAACTGTAGTGTCAGAATTTCTACTCTGGGCCAACGTCCCCAGGTCACCTGGCCTGGCACCCCTCACTAAATTGCCCAAGAACTCAGAAGTATTCTGGTGATGTAAGAGAGCCTCAGTTTCCTGAAATTTGTGGTCACTTTATTCTGTTGTGCTGTCCTCTACCTGATGGGTTGTTTGGGGTTTTTTTTTGTAATAAATTTATATTTTTTTCTTTAGAATATTTCCAGATAATTCTCAGAGTAAAGTCTTAACACCTTGGTTTGGTCTTCAAGATTTTTCTCTGTCATTTTCCAAAGCTAGTGCTCCAAACAATGCACCCAAACAAACCTCATTTTCATTTGTTTTTCTTTCCACAGTTTGCTTTTGCTGTTTCTTCTTCCATAATGTCATTCCCTGATGTCTAAACCTTTTTTTTATAAAAAACTTAGAAGTGATTATCATTTTCATTTTGGGTGCAGCAATATAGAGAACATAGGCACACACACACATCCAGTATATAAATCACATAAAATATTAATGACATGGAAAGATTTTCCCATTATATTAAGTGAAAAGGCAAATTGAAAAATATTATGATTCTGTTCTTCTTTTCCTTGAGGGGAAAAAAAAATATATATATATATAAGAAAAAAAATTCCTGAAAGTTTCCACCGACCCAAAAATGTTACTAGTTGTTGGAATTGGAGATGAGGTTTATTTTGCTTATTGGTATTTTATGTTTGGATAGCAGATCTGTTTTGTTCTTGTAATAATACATGAATTAAAACATGTGGTACCCTAAAGCATGTGGTACCTTATCTCATCCTTACATAAAATTTTGCAGTATCTTAACCCCAAACACTTCCAAATTGTTCTCACCATTACTCATATATCCAGGTATTTAAAAATATTTAATCAATGTGAGTGGCACTAATGTTGGAGGTAATGCTCATTAATGTTCAGCACAGAATAATATTTTTGAGAGCCTTTTCTGCCATCCCAATGGACTTGGCTTTGGAAATCATCAGACTATCCATCCACTCATGTCTGTAATGACCCCCCTTACCTACAGAGGTTGGGTCAGAGCTAAGATAGTCGCTAATGAAAGAGGAATTTAAATTTACTGCTTCCTAAGACCTGGGTGACATTTTTTGAATATTCTCCTCTAATAGGAAAGGGGCATGTAGTTTTCCTGTGTTGCAGTTATGAATAACGTGTGCACAGAGGGGTTTAACTATGGTTTCTGGTGAAGGTTAACAGGGATACATCTGTCTGCTCGGTCACCCTGGATCCCTGATGTCTTCCTTTGTGCTTTGCCTCTGCATTCACAGCCACATACTCATCTCCCGAAACAAAGAGGATATATTTGGTCATCACTGATCATTTTTTAAAAACTGGATTAGGCAGTTTCCCTTGAAACTTCTTTCCTAATGCAGCATGAAGTAGAGTTAAATAGCAAAAATGAAGGAATTTATTTGGAGCTATCAAAATAGGAAGGGGAATTGTTTGGTTCCACCGCAGACTGCAAGAGGGCTGAGGCATGGATTGAAGGAAATTATCAAGCGTGCATGTTGTTTTTAAGTGATACTTGAGACTGGGATGGGAAACAGCTGTGTTGTTGGGGGGTTTTTCTCGTGCCAATGTTCCTCATTTGATTGATTTCTCTCTCCGACAGCCCACTGTGCAGATAAATGTGTCCACGGTCGCTGCATTGCTCCAAACACCTGTCAGTGTGAGCCTGGCTGGGGGGGCACCAACTGCTCCAGTGGTGAGTGTCCACCTGCTGTTGTCTGTCTTGGAATGTTTGTGCTGGAAGAGCCCCTTGTCTGCAGATTCCCCTGAGCCTTGGGTTTCCCATTTCACCCTATGCAGAATGTAGTGCAGATTCCCCACCCAACTCATTGACAGAGTTTCCTTTAAATCTGTGCAAGTTATTAGATACAGAGCTGTTGTTAACTGAGTACAAAGAAAGGTGCTCAGTTAATCTGATGTTGATGCTTCCGTAAATACCAATGCATTTGCCAGAGTAGGGCAGTCGTGGTGACATAGCTATTGTGGTCTCACTTCTGTTTTCACTTGTTGATTTATCTATGGTATTTGCTTGGTGATTAAAATTTACTACTTGCTGGTTTTAACTCAGAAGAAGTAGAATTGATATTTTCAATGCTTAACCGATTTGTCTCTACATTTTGAGATGCAAATAACGAGTACTTGCTTGAGATAACTTTGGGGAGAAATATTGGCAATAAATAAAAATTCATGAACAGTTTAGTATTAGACATATATAATGTGTCATCTGTCTCGTTAAAATTACAACACTAAAATAACAATATTTGGACTACAAGCAGGTTGCATTTAAAATCTCACATTGTTTATTATGAGTATTAAATGATGGCATGTCATGTAGTGCAGTTGCTTTTCTAAATTTCACAGTTAAAACTTAAGTTTTCTGGCTAATTTGTTGCTGTGTGTGTAATGGTGTATACTTCCTTTTATCTTTTATTCTTGACAGTCTTACAGATGTCCCCTATTTTCCCCACATTCACCCTCCACCCAGCCCCTTGTCCCACCTCAGGCCTTCACCACGCTATTTGCCTTGAAAAATGTGCGAGGGACTCAAAGAGCAACTAAATTGTAAAGAACGGACCATCGTACTTAGAGAAAGGAAATAATAGTTTTAAAAATTAGCAGGCTCTCATGGCAGCACAGAGGTGTCCTCATTGCTACAAAACAGTTTTTTGAAACTAGTCCAAACGGACTTCCAGCTGTCTAGGGAAGCCAGGTTTAAAATTTTTGCTCACATTGGAATGGGGAGATGACTGTTTATCTTGTTAGAACTACTTGTTTCAGTTTTGTGGTCTCTTGGCTGCCCCTCGTGCTGTCTGTGCACAGAACATTCTGTGTGAAAGAGCCTTTTCATTGTATCTTAAGCCGGGTGAGAGGGGGGAGACAGACAGTGAGTGAGAGAGAGAGAGAGAGAGAGAGAGAGAGAGAGAGTGTTTCTGCCCCTGATGGACTTCCAGTCCCAGTGCATAACTGTACTGCAAGGTTTTGTTTTGCTTCTGTTGGAGATCGGGAGAAGAGTAGGCATTCTGTTCACATGCTGTTGAGGCAAAATGTTTGGGATGTGGGGGTTGGCTCATGTCCATTTCTCTGGCCAACTGACCTCAAAAGTGATGTGGCTTTTATGAACTTTTCCAGCTTAATAATCATTTGTGCCTACACATTTTGAGGAAAAATAACATTATTCTGTAAACTAGTGGGCAAGAGAAGAGTGGATGTATTCGTCATTTGGAAAGTGAGGTTTGTTGCTAGGTCCAGGGCAAGAATGCTGTGGAATAATTTCAGCTGTATTTATATTCTGTCTCCCAAGGACTGCAGCCTGTGTCAAGCTGAGAGATCAGACTAAGAGTGTGTAAACAAAACAAAAGCCTACATGGGTTTCAGATCCTTGAGAACTGGTTCAGGCCTCCTGGAATATAAGATAGTGTTTTATTTTGCAGGTTAGGCCTTCTCAAAAATAAACTATCATTTCGGAGTTGATTCCCTTTTGCAGAAAGCTCCTTGAATTCAGAGAACACATGTTCTTTTAATCCTGAAAGGTGCTATTGACTTGACTCTTATTTATTCTCTACAACTCTTGTTTTGGTTTATTTATAATGATCAAAGGCATAAGTAAACATGGACAGTTATTTGACATCTTCAAAGATGTTCAGAGAAAAGCATTTCTGACGCCTTTTCTAAGCACGAAAGAGAATGCTATTCTGAGCTAGAGCAGTGGGTCTTGTTACCTGGATTTTGTCTGTGGCAGTTACTCTACTGTCACTAATTAGGAGTTGTATAATTTACTTATTATTCTTGGCCAGATAATTCTTGCAATAAAATTCATGCGCTAGTAATCTATCTAGTAACAGAGTTAAAATAACCTAATTTTCAAAGATTTTATTTCTATGTCACCTCTTCTCTGGTTATTCTTACATATATATTTGATGATATATATTAGATCCATAAAATAATTGCTTTGACAATCAGAGCAGTTCCTTATATCAGTCAGGGTCCAATCAGGAGACAGATACCACAATAATTTTTTTCCAGTAAAACTTGTATTTTGGAGCCATTTTAAATTTATAGGAAATTTGCAAAAAATACTAGAGTTCCCATATGCCTGCATCCAGGTTTCCCCCTTGTTAATGTCTTACCTTTAGATTGTCAAACTGAGAAACTATTAGTACATCATTGTTAAATGAACTCCAGACTTCATTTGGATTTCATCTGTTTTTCTGTTGATGTTTCTTTCTGTTCCAGATTCAAATCCAGGGCACCACTCTGCTTTTCATTGCCCTGTCCTCCCCGACTCCTCTGGTCTGTGACAGTTTCTCAGTAATTGTTTTTCCTAACCTCAAGAGTCTTGAAAAGTACTGGCCAGGTATCCTGTAGAATGTTCCTCAGTCAGTGTTTGCTGTTTTTTTTCATAATGATATTATGGATTTTGAAAGGAATATTACAAAGTTGATATGCCCTTCTCATGCCATCATATCAGGTGTTTCATGACATTCATGTGACATCTCTGGTGGTATCATCACTTGGTTAACCTTCATCGCTTGCTGATTTATAGTGTTTGTCAGGTTTCTCCACATAAAGTCACTATTTTCCGCTTTCCCTAATCTATTCTTTAAAAAGCAAGTCACTAAGTCTAGCCTTCCCTTAAGGGTGAAGGACAGGAATTACTAGTAAGCTTTAGTCTTTGAGGGGTGAGTGTCTACCTATGTTATTTGGAGCTCTTTTCAAGGACGACTTGTCTTTCCCCTATTCATTTAATCACTAATTTATATCAGTATGGGCTCATGTATAATTATTGATATTTTGGGTTATATACCAACAGTAAGTTATTTGTTTGATTGTTTGTTTTTCTCAAGTTGTTCCAGCTTTGGGAATTGGGTGTTCTTTTGGGTGGCTCCTGTGTGCTGTTGACATGCCCCCTTCATTCTGTTTGTTTGTTTCTGTTGGTTTGTTTTGAGCACTTCCTTACTTTCTGTACTACAGGATACTCCAAGCTTATTTTGTGTTTTTCCTGCCTCAGTCCTAGAATGAGCATTGGAAAATGCTATTTCAAAATGAAAATTGGTGTGTTGGGAATGCTCATTGCTACTGGGACACATAGTAACTTTAACAGGGAGAGTTTATTAAAAAGATTTATGAACTACCACAGGGGGTTGGAATAATGAGGGATCAGCTGGTAAGAAGCAAATAGCACTCAAGACAGTGCAAGTGTAGCTGACATAAGGAGCAGCCTCCGCTCTTCCGGCTGAGATAAAGTGCCCCAAAGGAAGCCCCACCTGGGGTGGGATCCAGACCTCGTCAGAGAAGGCACATCCACAGCGCACTGAATGGCAGAGAGGCTGCCGGAGGACTGCTCTCACAGAACTTACTGGAAATCTGCCCTACAGGACGCTGGGGAAAGCTTTGGATAGAGAAGTGTCTACTATCACAAAATCCCGAGGGGGTACCCAGGGACAGTTGCTGGCTCATGGGTTCTGCTGGCCAGTGTGTTGCAGGAGCTGGATGCCAGACAAGTGGCCCCTGGTGCAGGAACCTAGCGCTGGGCTGCAGAAGCTGCCTCTTCTGCAGAAACGGGGCTCTATGAAAGCTGCCACGCAGTCAGGTGCTGTAGAAGCCAGTCCCATTGTGCTTCCAGGGCAAGACCTGGAACTGCAGAAGCCACATGCACTTCAGGAGTCAGTTGAGCTAGCACACTGGGACGTGACGGACAACTTTCCTCCTGGGATGTCTCTTCTGTGTCCTCTAAAGAAAATGCTTCTCTCTCGGCTAGCTGGAAAAGGAAGAACATCTAAAGGGCCCAGATCCATTTTCGTAGAGCCCGCAGTGAAGGATGAATTTAGTACTGAGAGGCAATAAAGAGGTAGCCATTGCAATCCCTGCCTTTGGTTACTCAGCTCCTCTCTGCACACTTCTACACACATTTTAATTCTTACATATCAGCAAAATGACTCTATATTTCCACCTAATAAGCTATAGTTCCTTATCTTTTAAGTCAAGACCTTCTCACTCTTTTCCCCAAATGACAAGATGCAAGTCCCAATAGTTGTGTATCCATTGTTGATTAAACCAATCTCTCCTCAAATTCATGCATAGCTCCACTGAATATTGTTACCTAGATACTAATGTCCAACAACTTGTTTATAAAGTAACATAAAAATGAAAAGAGAGGAAAAAGAAAACAACATCTACAAATGAATGTATTCATATAGCAAGCAAATAGAAACTATTAAAAACTACAGCAGGCCCCTGTTCAGTAACTAGTCACAAGGCTGTCATTGTATATGCACCTCCCTTCTTCCATTCAGCATTGTGTGCCCACCCTTTCTCAGTCCAGAGCCCACCTGCTTGGGGCTCTTTACATGGTGGAGTGATTTCAGCCTCCATTCCTGAAGGACCTGAATTCTCAGTTATCTTGCCTTTAAGTAAATTATTGATGTTTTCTGTTAACCTTCCCTATTGGGCATGACTAAGAGGTGCCCCATATCAGAGTTCCTTGGTTTCATGTAGCAACCCAATTTCCTCTCGAAAATCAGGATCAATCATTACATCCAGAAGAGTAAGTACTTTATTTACAGTAAGAGGCTAAAATGACCAGATGGCAGTAAATTGATAACTGTCACCCAGAACTATCTCTCTGTATTTTTCCCCAATAAACTTGGAAGATTAAGGGACTAACAGATACCTTCCCATGTACAGGTTCACTAAGGC